GCTTGGGCTCGGCCCTCAAGTGGCCCTCGGCGCTGCCTTCCATTCTGCAGATCGCGCTGGCTTTTGGCCTGGCGATAGCCACCCTGGCCCAGGCCCCCCGGGCGCGCCGCCCCCACCACCCCCGCCATTACCCTGGCCCTCCTAGTGGGCAACCAGATCTCGCTGCTTCGGGCTGTCTTCTACGTGGTGGCCCAGCTGGTGGGCGCCATTGCCGGAGCGGGCATCCTCTACTGGCTGGCACCGCTCAATGCCCGGGGCAACCTGGCGGTCAACGCGGTGAGTGCCCATGAGGCTGAGGGTAGAAGCAGGGACCCTGGGGTGGGTGCAGAACTAGGCCTCCCTGCCACATCTCCAGAAACGGAGCAACAGAGTAGCCCGCACACACCTTTCCTGGAAGCTCTAAACCCCAGTGTGACCCACTGTCCCCTAGTTCACAGCCACCTCTTCTGCCCGCTCACCTCAGCTGGCCCATCCTGGCCTCTCTACAGGTGCCTCTGCCCCTCCTCTCTTGCCTGAAACTTCTGCCTTTACTCCTGTCTCACCACTGAGGTCTTCTGTTCTCTTGGGCCCCTCACCTCCCCTGACTGCGCCTCAGTGCTATGGTTTAATGAAACCGTCAGAGAGAAGGGGGTTGGAATCCTGGCTTTGGGTCACCCCAGCCTCTCTGAGTCGTTTTTCTCAGCCATTACACTGGCATGTCCATACCTACCCCAGGAGTCAAGGGGATCACACTGAGAAACACGATGGATCCTCCGCCCCTAATGCGGCATCAGAGTGTCCTGGTCTCTGTTGGTCATTGGTTCTCCTTTTCTCTCCACTCTGTCTCCTTCCTCCCTCCCTCCTCCCACTACCCCTTACAGCTGCAGATTCAGCCCACCCCCCTCCCCACCCCAGCCCCATGCAAACTGGGTTCATTAATCAAACACAGAGGAGGATTTTCTCGGCCATTGTCAAGCCGTGAGTCAACCACGCACCGGAGGGACGGGTTTGAGATTGGCACTGGCAGCGGGTCAGGCACGGGCAGGAAGCTGGGGTGGGGGGTGCAGTAGGCAAACTGGGCAGCTGCCCACAGGAGGAAGCATAAGTGCTTGCTTACGGGGCTTGGGTTGGGCAGAAATGTTGACAGGACCACGTCCAGGAAAAGCTCCCCTGCCACTCTGCCCTTTGGCCACAGGCCTGAGTTTCACGCTTATGCAAACTGTGCAACACATGGCCTCTTCAACAAACGGCCTCTCGGGGCAACACGCGCAGGGCTTGGCTTGCAGGTGCTCGGGCTGTAAGTGTCCTTGGAGGCCAAGCGCCCTTCTCCCCAAGCCCCCAGCCATAGAGCCAGGAGGCAGCAGGGACCCTAACCCACCCTCCTCTCACAGCTCAACAACAACACGACGCCAGGGAAGGCCATGGTGGTGGAGCTGATTCTGACCTTCCAGCTGGCCCTCTGCATCTTCTCCTCTACCGACTCCCGCCGCACCAGTCCTGTGGGCTCCCCAGCCCTGTCCATTGGCCTGTCTGTCACGCTGGGCCACCTAGTAGGGGTGAGTGGTGCTGACACCCGGCTAGGCTTGCAGGGAGACACTCCGGGCAACTAAAGGAGCCCCAGAGCAGCACCCCTCCAGACCGAAGAGCCTAGCAATATTTAAGGCCTGGATGTAGGTGGTCTCTGGCCCTCCTGGGCCCCAGAATTTATTTCCCAGAACCTTCTCTGTGCTGATGATAGGTGGATGGGAGGAAGTGGGGGGCGGGTTAGGGCCAGGGAATCAAGCTCAAGCTTGGGACAGAGGAAAGAGGCATGGGTGCGGGACTGTGATTAGCCGACAGCCAGGGTCTGGAAGAGGTCACTAGCCTCAGAATCGGGAGACTTGCACTGGAGGCGTGGCTGAGCCACGGGGCTGCTGCGTGACCTTGGGAGACCTGATTCTGAGGGGTGGGTGGGAACGTTGCCCTCCTCACCACCACCCTTTCCGTCCAGATCTACTTCACCGGCTGCTCCATGAACCCAGCCCGCTCTTTCGGCCCCGCACTTGTCCTGAAACGGTTCAGCCCCTCACACTGGGTGAGTCTGACGATGAGGGGAGATCCTGGTGGCCGCTGAGAGCAGACCAGACTTCCTGGGTGCCCTGGGCCCAGAGCTCGGGGGCAGGCCCAGGAGTGGGGAAGGAGAAAGGGGGAAACACAGAGGATGAGATTCAGCCAGGAGGGCCGGGAGGACTGACATGACTTGTATGTCCCTGGGGACAGGGTGCCCTGAGCAGGAGGCAATGAGCGTCTGTCCCTCTAGGGGACAGGATCTGTACTTTCTCTAGAGGGACACAGGTGATCTAGTTGATGTCCTCTGGTGATTTTGTCTGTCCCTCTGGGCATCTGTCCTCTGTGACAGTTTACTTATCTGTCCCTATTGAGGCATTGAGAGTGTTCCTGTGGGTTCGTCTCTCTGGTCAGCCTGTCTGTCACCTCCTTTGAGAGCTCATGATCAGTGAGTCCAGGGTCTGTGTTTCTATCCCTACATGGAAGGAAGGAGTTCTGTTTGTCCAGCTATCTGAAGAGTTGTCTGTCCTCTCTGAAGCCTTGTTTGGCTCTCTTTAAGGTGGTATGGGGTGGGGGGACCTGTCCCTCTGGGGACTTGTCTGCCTCTTTTGAGGGTCTGGGTATCTGTGGCCGGTGTATCTGACACAGGGGATTGAGGTCAGTACACCTGTTCCCAGGAGAGGAGAAGCCTTTCCTCTATAGCCTGGAAGTCTGCCGGAGTGTCCCCTCTGGTCCACATCTCTGTCCTCTGGTGGTGGTGGGGGGCGGGGGGTCTTGGTCTCCAAGGCCTGAGGCCCAGCCTGATCACTGCCCTGTCTCCACCAGGTGTTCTGGGTGGGCCCCATCGTGGGGGCTGTCCTGGCTGCCATCCTCTACTTCTACCTGCTCTTCCCCCACTCCCTGAGCCTGAGTGAGCGCGTGGCCATCGTCAAGGGCACGTATGAGCCCGAGGAG